GTGCTTTGGTTTGGTACAAAGAAAGAGAGGCCGGTACTTTTGCACCCAAAGGGGAACCAGCTTTGTATCTAGGCCCAGAAGTCATCGATGGCATGCGTTTCAAAGGAGCGCATCAAGTAGTCACTCTTCGGTCTCTCAAGGAAGGGGGGTTTAGAGTAGTGATTACCAAGGACCTCGCTGTTCCCAACGGCAAATGGTCTTTCCCGCTCGCTAAAGCCAAGGCGTTGGATGAGGAGAACCCTCATCACAAGCTTCCCAGCACTGACTCGTTGGCTCCACCTGTAGGGGCGCTTGATGAAGACATTGAGCAGCAAACGCAGGGGTTGACCAAGTTTGACGAAGTTGGTCCGAGGGCCGAAGCAACAGGAGCGGAAGAAACTTCAGCAAAGTTTTCCAGAAACAGGGCTATCACCAGGTTGAGAATTGCAGTGCACGGCAAGACTCCCAAGTGTGAGGGCTGCAAAACTGGAAGCTACAACCACAACAAGGCTTGTAGGACACGGTTTAATGATTTGCTTGACTTTCATGAGCCGCTCCCTGCCAAAGACAAGGAGGATGAAGAGCTCGAAGACGCTTTTGTCCCTCCAGAAGAGTCTGAGGTTCCTGCTTTTACTCCGCCTTCGACGGCAGGAGAAGAGGTAGGAGAAACCGTCTCAGGCTTAGCCGCTTGTGTTGAGTTGCTTGCAGACCCAAAGGCTCACCAAACTGGAGAGCTGACGCAAGACGAAGCACAGCAACTGTTCCAGGGCCTCCCTCAAGAGACAACTTTTGCGTTGACTGCCAAGGAAAGAAGGTCCAAGGTGAAACAGTCTACAGGCGTAACTTTTGTCGAGTTTTGCTGCTCGAGTCACAGTCAGTTGAAACGAGTTTGTGAGCAGCACCAGATCTCGTATCTAGGCTTGTCTAAAGATTTCGTCGACCTTGAAAACCAAGAGCAGTTTCTGCAGGTTTTAGACTGGGCGCGGGATCAGGCTGAGAGAGGAGAGGTTCTTCACTTGTGGGGTTCCCTTCCTAGTCAGCCCTGGCACAACCTTCGCTCCAACAAAGACTCCAAGCACACAGACACACCAACAGCTTTGAAAAGAGAAAACTCGTTGAGGCTCGTTCAGCACTTCGTGTTGTTGGCCAGTGTTGCTGCGGAGTCAGGGGGGTCTGTGTCGTTTGAGTGGCCGAAAAGCTGTTTAGGTTGGTACCAAACACCGGTGCTTGACATGATCACTCGCTTTGAGTTGCAGTTGTGTCATCCGACCAGTTGCGGTTTCAGGCTCTGCATCGACGGAAAATATCCGCTGAAGGAGTGGCGTGTGGCTACTAGCCACCCGCGCGTCGCTCAGGAAATGAGCAGGCGGATCTGTCGTCATGAGCACGGTCACAAGCATGATCTGTTGCACGGTGACGTTGCGTGGAAGTCCGACTTTTACAACCGGGCAATGGCCAGTGTGATCATCGGCGCTGTCTTTCCTGACACGGTGCATCGTTACGTTCCGTCGATGCCGGTTGTTCCTTGTGACTCGGTGTCGAAAGAGCACGTTGAACGAGACGTTCCTGCTTCTCCTCTGTGGACCAGTGCTAAGGCACTTGTTACTAGAGCCCTGTCCCGAAAGGAAATGTTTGAGAATCCTCGCGCGTTGCGTGCGGTTCAAGCAGAGGGCGACAAAGTCAGGTCCAGGGGGGTATGGGACGACGAGTCAGCTGAAGAACCGGAGACCGTCTGTCGTCGTGCTAAAGCAGCCGGTGAGCGCATACACATTGCGGAAGCAATGACGATCGCTGGTGTGAAGAATGCTGAAATGGAGGAAGACAAACACGTCTACAAGGGCAGAGTGGTCTATCGTGGAGACGCCACGAAGGATGAACAAGGGTTGCCGGCGTTGTTTCGTGAGTTGCACTCGCTCCCGACAAACATGCAGGCAATAAACTTGACTCTCTTCCTCGGCTTGTGTTCGGGCTTTCTCGTGCAGGCTGCCGATGCTTGCCAAGCTTTTCTGCAGGCTCCACTGCGTTCTCCGGTTTCCACATACGTCGTGTTGCCTTCCGAGTTATGGCTTCCTCAGTGGAGGGGTCGGTTCCGAAGAGTCGCTGTCAAACTCAAACGGGCACTCTACGGCCACCCAGAGGCTCCAGCTGAGTGGCAAGCCTACCTTGAGAATGTCCTGAAGACAGTGCTACTTGCGGTCGCAGTCGAAGGGTTTCCGTCCGTTTTCTGGCTTCCGACACTCTGCGTCTTAGTCACGATTTATGTTGATGATATACTCGCAGCCGGCAAGGCCGAGGGCCTGAAGAGCTTCTGGTCGCAGTTGCGTGAGCACATAGATCTTGACGAAGTGACTTCTGTGGAGAGGTTTCTGGGTCGCTACCACTTGTTTTCAGAAGACGGAACAACGGTGTACATGCAGATGTCTGCATACGCACAGCAGGCAATCGATCTGTACCTCTCACTGCCCGGGGCTGTGCCTTTGAAGTCGGCAACCACGCCTTACGTAGCTGAGGGAAGCCTTCCTCTTGAAGACTTTGAAGTGAGAGGAGCTCTGGCCGATTCCTCTGCGAAAATATTGATGAAGCTACTTTGGCTCTCGCGGTTATGTCGACCAGATTTGGCACACGTCATTTCAATGCTTGCGGTGCAGTCCAGCACGTGGAGTCGTAATGCAGATAAGCAAGTGCATCGCTTGCTTTGCTATCTGCAGAGCACAGCTGACTACTCTCTGAGAGGAATCGTGAGGGACCCACTGCACAGCTGCTGGATTGATCTGTATTGCGACGCAGATTTGGGCGGTTGTATCCACACGTCCAAGTCAACAAGCAGCCTTTGGCTTCAAGTGAGCGGCCCCAACGGGACCCAGTTCCCGATAACCTGGGCCAGTCGTCGCCAAGGCGCCGTTAGTCGCTCCACTACAGAGGCCGAACTTGTGGCGCTTGCGGATGGGCTTTTCACTGAAGCACTTCCGGTTCAAGACTTGCTCAGTAAGGTGTGTGGACAAACAATACCCATCCGTATCCGTGAGGACAACGAATCGGCAATAAAAGTCTTGAAGGCAGGATACTCGGTAAAGCTGAGGGGTTTAGTCAGGACTCAACGCCTTTCCATCGCATCAATCTCTGATCATTTGAAGAGTCATGCAGACGAGATCAGCCTGGAGTACACTTCTACTAAAGATCAATTAGGGGATCTCTTCACCAAGATTCTGTCTAGACTGCCTTTTGAAGAGCTTGTTGCGAAGCTGGGTCTTGCGAGAGCCCCAACACCAAGGTCCTGAACCCCAAAGTGCCGTTAGGTCAGCGCGCCGCGCGACTAATGTGCACCGAAGGGACGTTGGACGTTGTTTTTACTAAGGTCCTTACCGCATTTTGCGGTTGCTAAGGTCGTTTCGTGCCTTCTTCGTCACAGTTAGACCTGCGCGTCGCGCGGCTAACTGAAGGGCTCTGTACTTGACCTGCGCGTCGCGCGGTAGGAACAGAGCAGCTTAGGACTGGTCGGGCCTGAAGCAGGGGCGGCAGCTCAGTGGCGCTGCGCAAGCCGCTGGCGGACGGCGTGAGCTGACAGTCTCTGAGTCCCTGTTTCTTTGGTACGTGTATCATAAGATATGGTCCTTGCTGTCCCCTGCAAGAGTGGACCAACACCCCAAGAATTGGGGGTGGTGGTGGGCTTGTACAGCGCACGCTGGGGTGGGGTTCCGCTGGTGTCTCCCGTTAACAGCACAGGCTCATATCGCCATCTCGCCGTCGTGAGGGGGGACGAATTGTTCCTGGAACGATGGTAGTGTACAGCAAAGCACAACGGCCATTTGGCTCAAGAAAAAGAGTCCCACGCTGAACCGTGCTTCTGCGTACTACGGAGGCTTGTACCTGTGGGGGGACCGTGACTGGAAATTGACAGGGAGTGAGGACGAGGACAAGCCCAGGGACACGAGTGTCCAAGCCGCCGTCATGGTCTGCGATCGCGTTGCGCTCTCTATGGAGACGGCACTGTTGCGGCTTTGGCAACGGCCCATGACGGACCAGTTGCGCGAGCAGCACCTGCGTCTGTGGACATCCGCGCTGGTCATGTTCGGCACATTCTTCGAGAACGGGTGGACCCTCTGGGATGCCAAACCTGACAACTACGGCATGGACGAGGGAAACTACGACCGGATGCAGTTCTTGGACGTCGCGGCCATAGACGACAGACGTATTGAAAAAAACCGAGAAGATGGCCAGCTGCTGTACAAGATCATGACGCGCTTTTGCAAGGAAACAGTGAAGTTGCTGCAAGCGGGAGGCTGTCATGAAACTTGGCGGGAATGGCTGCAGCCGCTTTTCGAAACTTTGTGTCGACGGTACCTCGGTCAAGAAGCTGAACTGTTTTGGGGTGCACAACTGTATTGGTCGAGGACAGGTGCTTGTTGGACATTAAACTCATAAGCGTGTCTGTGTGTGTCTGTGTGTGTGTGTGTGTGTGCCTGTCACTGGGTGTTGCACTCCGAGTTTGCAGGATCGACGCAGGCAAAATGCGTGCATTTGCAGAGCACGTGTTCAGGCTTCTCGGCAGAAAGAGCCGGTTGCTCGGGCTCGTTGCTTTGCGGTTGCAACTGTGCAGAGGACCCTGCATGGATCCTCGTGTTTGCTTTTCATGTGTGCAACGAAAGAAATCTGACGGCCAGGAACGAGCCGTCGAAGGAGTCGGAGCCTGCCAAGAAGTCCGGACCTCAAGTCACGACGACGGCGGCCGGCGTTTCGTTGTTGGCTACTGACACTGAGCTCATAAGCAACGTCAAACAAATCTGATGGCCAGGAACGAGCCGTGGAAACAGTCGTCGTGGAAAGAGTCGGAGCCTGCCAAGAAGTCCGGTCCTCGAGTCACGATGCGGGCCTCGGGGCGTGGCACACATGCTGTCTCGTCGACGGCTAACAAAGCCGATGGTCAGGAATGAACCGCCGGAGGAGTCGGAGTGTGCCAAGATGTCCGGACCTTGGCAACTCAAAGGTGCGGTGTCTTGCTGGCCGCTGAGCTCAGGCAACGCATGGATGCATCGCGAGAATTGCAAGAATGGGCACCTACCGTGTGCCTGCAGTTGCTTCGTCGCAGTGCGCTGGTGGTGTTCCAGCTGCTGCCCGACGAAGAAAGGCACGGTGCGATACAGCTCTTGTGCACCGTGAAGGAGACCGACGTCCAGCTGATTGACTCGGTTCAACACGTGCAAGCGCACGTTTTGGCGGCGACACCCCCGGATGTGTCTCACATGGTTGACGGCGAGCGCGAGCCCGGGCTTCTTCGGGTTGGGCTTTTGTGCAGCACCGCATGGACGCCGTCTTGCCGATATGCGGAGCAGCACAGAGTGCATCGGTGCATGCATGTCGACGCTTCCCTCGCGCGGGTCTACTGGGATCAAATGAATCGGGAGAGCTGGCCCAAGTCTTTGCAGGACTGGCACGAGACTGTGGTTTTCAAGACTCAAATGCGTGCAGAGGCACCTAGGTTGACGTTGCAGAAGCTGGAGAAGGCGATGAATGACGTGACCGTCGACGCCGACCACAGGGGCTTTTACAACAAGCCTATCCATCGTCCAGAGACACATGGATGGGTCACTCGAAAGACAACTAAGCTGGGCAAAGAATCGCGTACGCGAGAAGAGCACGAAGCCGAAGGGAGCACTTATGGCGACCAGCAACCGCACAAGAGGATGCGAGACGTGCTCAGCTACCGGCACAAGCCGTTGACGGTCGCTTTGCTGCGTATGAAAGTGTTGGAAGCTGTACATTACTTTGTTCGTTGTGTTTTCCTAGCTCGTGTGTCTTCTGCATTGGTTTGGTCTGCGGAAGGCATTGCTGCAGAACCTGCACCAACTTCTGCCGCTGGAGCGCTGCAGCGAGCGAGGGCAGCGACCGGCCGGATGCAGGGAGGGGCCGGTGAAATCGAAGAGGCGAAAGCAATGCACGAAAACCAGTCAGGGCATGTTCAAGTTTGCCCAGCATGGCATGGTTCTCCAGCTGGACACCTTCATGGAGGATAAGTGTTTTGTGCCGCGGGCAGCTGCTGCAGAGGAGCAGGACTTTGGCTTTGTGCCGGCCGAGCTGCACAATGTGGCCAGGGGCCTTGTTGCTTTCCTGAGGGTCAGAGCGTGCTCCTTCGAGAACATCTCGGATGACAAGAAGACGGAGCATTGGAGCCATTGCTTGGAGTGGTGCGGTTTTTGGATGTCGGACGAGGAAATCCAAGCCGTGGCTGCACAAGCGACGTCCCTTGCATTTACGCACATGCGCTATCTGAGTGCATACGTGCGTTTTTATAGAGCAACGCTTGCGCAGGTAAGTGTTGTCGCTGGCTCGCAGATGTAGGCTGGCCGCGGAACCGCATGGACGCCGTCTTGCGAAGGTGCGGAGCTGCGGCCACTCTGTGGCCGAGGCCGAGGCGGTGTGGATGGTGGCGGAACCGCGTGGACGCTGTCTTGCGAAAGTGCGGGGCTGCGGCCACCTCATGGCCCGGGCGGTGAGTTTAGACGGGCTTGGCGGCGCTTCTGTCAAAATCAAGCCACTTCCGATGCTGTGACTTGCTATGCTAAACCTGGCTTTCGTGTGGCGGTCTGGAGCCGGTTCGAGCTTTAGATGGTGACTTGGAGGGCCGCCTTCGAGCAAAGCCTTGCCCTTGTCATTGCTGTTGCTGCCACTGCTTAGGCTGCTTCGACTCGCCACGAGAACTAGCGGTCCTGTCCTCAGCAAGACGATCGCTCTGATGAGGGTTGCATTCGAGGCGCTTTCAAGGTCGCTGCGTGCAGTCCTTTGGACGTTTTCTGGACGTTTTTGTTTGTTTTGCACGTGCCGCGTAGCTCGGGCTCGATTTCTGTGGTGGCGCTAGTCTTCGCGGTGCCACCGAGTGGACGCTGTCTTGCGAAAGCTCGGTGTGTCGCTGGGCTATGGCGGCCAGCTCCTTGCCCGCGGATGCCTATTTGGTGAAGGCAGAGCTGCAAGCAACCGGGGGGTGGAACAGGAGAAACCAATTGCTCCGATGGAAGACAGGCACAGCCAAGCTTGTCTTCCGAGTGCCTGGGATGTCTGATGCCATCCACATCGAGGAAACGATCGAACGTCTGGGTAGCGGTGCTTTCAAGGTGGCCTTCGGCTTGGACGCTTGGAAGTTGGCGCTGAAGGTGGTGCCCTATGCGGGCCCGAACAGACAGGGCTGGATGACAACAAACGATCTGTTGCTGGAGCTACGCGAGTACCAGAAGGCGAAGAACAATGCCGAATTGCGAGGGTACCTGCCCCGGTACTACGGAGGCCTGTACCTGTGGGGCGACTGTGACTGGACTTTGGCAGGGAGTGAGGACGAGGACAAGCCCAGGGACGCGACGGTCCAAGCCGCCGTCATGGTCTGCGATCGCGTTTCGATTACCATGGAGACGGCACTGTTGCGACTGTGGCAGCAGCCATCGACGGAGCCGTTGCGCGAGTGGCACAACAAACTGTGGACTTCCGCGTTCAGCATGCTCGGTTCGTTCTTTCGGAACGGCTGGATTCTCTGGGATGCGAAACCTGACAACTTCGGCTTGGACGAGGGAAACCCCGAGCGGATGCACTTCGTGGACGGCGCAGGCATTGAGGAGACAAGCCTTTATCCCAATCACTATCAGGGCCAGCATTTGTTCAAGATCATGCAGCTTTTGTGCAAGAATACAGTCATTCTGCTGAAAAGTGGAGGCGTTGATAAAACGTGGGAAACATGGCTGGTGCCGCTTTTCGAAAACCTGTGTCCCCGGTACCTCGGTCAAGCGGCTGAACCTTGGTGGGGCGAGCACCTGTATTGGTCGCCCAGGACAGTTTTTGTCTGGACACTAAACCCTTAACCCTGAAGTCTGAACCCTAAACCACACGTGGTGTGTGTGTGTGTGTGTGTGTGTGTGTGTGTGTGTGTGTGTGTGTGTGTGTGTGTGTGTGTGTGTGTGTGTGTGTGTGTGTGTGTGTGTGTGTGTGTGTGTGTGTGTGTGTGTGTGGGCGCGCGCGTGTGTGTGTGTGTGTGTGTGTGTGTGTGTGTGTGTGTGTGTGTGTGTGTGTGTGTGTGTGTGTGTGTGCGTTGTCTGCAGGATCGACGGACAGAAAATGCGTGCACTTGCACAGCACCTGTTCAGGCTTCTCGGCAGAAAGAGCTGGCTGCTCGGACTCGTTGCTTTGCGGTTGATCGTATGTCCTGTTCGCGAGGACGTCGACGTCTCCCGCATCTTCGTCTGGCGGCAGGTATTCCGGGATTGTGGCTGGAAACAGGAGCCAGTGCACAACACCTCGATTGGGCAGGAGCCAGCCGACGGGCAAGTCCGAGCCTGCGAAGAAGTCCGGGCCTCGAGTCACGACGGTGGCGGTTGGTCTCTCGTTGTTGGCTCCTGAGCTTAGGCCACACAAAACAAATCCGACGGCCGGGAACGACCCGTCGAAGGAGTCGGAGCCTGCCAAGAAGTCCAGGCCGCGGGTTACGATGCGGGCCTCGGCTCGCGACACTGGCGGCGTCTCGGCGACTGCTAACAAATGTCACGGCCAGGAACCAGCAGTCGAAGGAGTGGAAGCCTGTCCAGAAGTCCGGACCTCGGCTCGTGAAAGTGGCGGTGTCTTGCTGGCCGCTGAGCTCAGGCAACGTATGGATGAATCGCAAGAATTGCAACAATGGGCACCTACCGTGTGCGGGCGGTTGCTTGGTCGCAGTGCGCTGGTGGTGTTCCAGCTGCTGCCCGACGATGAGGACAATAATGCGAGAGAGCTCTTGTGCACCGTGAAGGACACGGACGTCATGTGGACTGGTTCCGTTCAAAAAGTGCAAGCGTACGTTTTGGCGGCGAAGCCACCGGATGTGTCTCACATGATGGATGGCGAGCGCAAGGTTGGGCTTCCTCGGGTTGAGCTTTGCTGCAGCACCGCATGGACGCCGTCTTGCCGATATGCGGAGCACCACAGAGTGGATCGGTGCATGCATCTCGACGCTTCCCTCGCGGGGGTCTACTGGGATCGACTGAATCGGGAGAGCTGGCCCAAGTGTTTGCAGGACTGGCACGAGACTGTGGTTAGCCAGACTCAAATGCGTGCGGAAGCACCCAAGTTTTCGATGCAGATCCTGGAGGAAGCGATGACTGGCGTGACCATCGACGCTGGCCACAGGGGCTTGTACAACAAGCCTCTGCATGATCTGGAGACACATGGACAGGTCACTCGAAAGACAACTAAGCTGGGCAAGGACTCGCGTACGCGAGAAGAGCACGAAGCCGAAGGGAGCACTTATGGCGACCAGCAACCGAACAAGAAAACGTTGGACTTGCCAGTCAACGTCGAGAGGCCATTGACGGTCGCTTTGCTGCGTGTGAAAATGTTCGAGTATGTACATTACTTTGTTCGCTTTGTGTTCCTCGCTCGCGTGTGTTTTGCATTGGTTTGGTCTGCGGAAAGGCATTGCTGCAGAACCTGCACCAACTTCTGCCGCTGGAGCGCTGCTGCCCGGACGGGCGGCAACCGGCCGGATGCAAGGAGCAGAAGGAGATAGGGAACATGCCAAAGGACACTTTTAAAACGAGAAAGGGTATGTTCAAGTTTGCCGAGCATAAGAGAGTCCTCGCGCTGGAGAAATACATCGCGCGTGGCTGCTTTGAGCAGCCGGGAGCTGATGCAGACGAGCTGGACTACAACTTTGTGCCGGCCGAGCTGCACAACGTGGCCAGGGGCCTTGTTGCTTTCCTGAGGGTCAAAGCGTGCTCTTTCGAAAACATCTCGGATGACAAGAAGGTGGAGCATTGGAGCCATTCCTTGCTGTGGCGGGGCTTTTCGATGTCGGACGAGGAAATCCAAGCCGTGGCTGCACAAGCGACGTCCCTTGCATTTACGCACATGCGCTATCTGAGTGCATACGTGCGTTTTCATAGAGCAACGCTTGCGCAGGTCAGTGTTGCCGCTGGCTCGCAGATGTAGGCTGGCCGGAGAACCGCATGGACGCTGTCTTGCGAAAGTGCGGAGCTGCGGCCACCACGTGGCTTAGACAGCGGCTTGCAGTACTTGGATGTGGCGGCCGTGGAGGAACGCTCGCTGAGCTTCGCGTAGGGTGGCCGCGGCGTCGCATGGACGCTGTCTTGCGAAAGTGCGGGGCTGGGGCCATTCATTCCGAGGCGCTGATCTTTTGCGGTGGTGCTCGCGCTTCTGCCAAAACAAAATGATTTCATTCACTCCAAATGCCACAACTTACTTGCTGAACTTAGCTCTCATCGGGGTCCGGGTCCAGATTCAGATGATGGTTTGCAGGGCTTTCCAGCAGAACTTCGGCACGTCTTCGCACTTGGCATGGCTGCTGTTGCTGCTTAGGCTGTCTCGACTCGCACTGCGAGGTTCGCCGGTCTTGTCCTCAGCAAGAGAATCGCTCTCAAGGGGGGTGGCGTTGAAGTCGGTAGGCTTGCCGATGTTCTCCGCTCCGAGGCTGCTTCCAGTTCTGCTGTTTTCGTTACCTAGCCTGGGCTCGATCTGCATTTCCCTTTTGCTGGTCTCCGCGGCATCGCCGGGTGGACGCTGTCTTGCGAAAGCTCGGCGTGCTGCTGGTCCGTGGGAGTCCCAGCGATGGAGGCTTCCGAGACGAGTTCTCTGGGTGGCGGAGATCGGGCATTGCTGCTTCCTTGCGAAGGAGGCCGGCCATTGCAAAATGCCGAGCTGCTGCAGAGAACCTTGTCATCTCTGCTGCAACAGTCTCTTGTCCAGTCAAACGAAGAGCATATCGATCTCGTTTACAGGGCTTGCTTCTTTCACAACAAGTTGAAGGGCAGCCTGGCATCGAATTATGAAAGCGCGCCTATCGCGGCTGCTCAGGAGTCAGGAGCACTTTCTGAGCGCAACTTTCTCGGGGAAGTTCGAGAGGTGTTGAACTGTCTCGTCGAGCATCACGAGCGACTGAGTCTGGATGTGCTGTTTGCCGAGATTTGTCGTGCGGACAAGCTTTTGCGAGAAGCCAAAGCTTTTTTGCGCCGCTGGAAGCACGTGCCCCAGATAACGCCGGTGATGGAAGAAAGCACGGCATGCGTCGCCCATGCCCTGGCTGCAATGATGGACGATGCTCATTTAGCTCTTTGCGAAGATTCCCTCTGCAATTTTACTCAGAGCATCCACGCCGGACGGCTCGCTGTCCATCGAGGCTGTGGTTATTTGGACTTACTGCTGCGCTGGATACAAGAGGGCGAGCACTGCAGCGGCGATCGACGGAAAAGTTG